CTGGTGGATTAGGATCCAGGCCCTCCCGAGGCTATCCTATGCTTCTGTCTTTCCTCTCATCGTCTAGGTATCCCCTTCTAGTTAATATTTCTCACTTCTCCATACTCAAGAGTACCATGGGTTGTAAAAGTGGGGGCTGGTCCCCTACAGCATGGGACCTACCAGGCATTATGGTGTACGAAGTAGGGAAAAGGAGGTGACCATCCATGATGGTTCCCATTGGGTGACGCCAAGACTGAACCTCTGACAGGGACAACAGAGTCTGAGTCTGGCCTTTAGATGAGGAGCATGAAAGTTGGAGTGTCTTTGGGCCAAGTCCAGTGAGCATCTGGACCCCTTTAGCTGAGTTGAGAGAAGTGGTCTGAGCTGAAGATAAAGACTTTTTAATTATCTGGGCCTTTAGAAGAGAGGGCATAGGGAAAGAAGAGTAAAAGCAGGCAGTGGAGGGCAAGGAGACTAAAGAAGAAAAGAGAGCTGGGTCAGGGGAACCGGCAAGTGTCCTGAGTGACCTCTGAATCGGAGGTATGAGAGTCACTAAATGTGGGGCTTCACCCCAGAAATGCACAAGAGGGTGTGACGGGGAGTTTTGGCCACAAAGGAGAATATAAAAAGGAACAGTAGCCAGAAGCAAGTGCAGAATTGTTTCTCTGTGTTTCTTGTATGAAGATGGGAGGTGTTTCCATAGAGAAAGACTAGATATCGGAAGAGAAAGGAGCTGGGCAGTGGTGGCACACGCCTTTAATCTCAGCACTCGGGAGGCAGAGCCAGGTGGATCTCTGTGAGTTCGAGGCCAGCCTGGTCTACAGAGAGAGATCCAGGAAAGGTGCAAAGCTACACAGAGAAACCCTCGGGGGGCGGGGGAAGAGAAGAAGATAAAGGAATTATCTGTGAGATTTAGGTCTAGGGAGTTAGGGTTTGGGGCACACCAGTGAGTGTAGTTTGAGAGCAGGAATTCCAGAAGCCCTTCTGTGAGGTAGGTGTTGGCTTCAGATGAAGAACAGCAAAGTGTTCCATCTGATGTCTTGTTTGTCAATGCTGAGAGTTGGGGAGGAAGGAACATTCTGGACATATTAGCCTGCTCAGTCTGCAAGAAGTAAAATCAATGGGCCATGGCCATTGTGAGGGGCTTCGCTAAGCAGGGTTGAGTTTCTCTGGCATGTGGTAGCCTGGCTTTGAAGAGAGGATTATAGGCAAAAGACAATCAGAGTGATAGGCTATGGACAGGGGCAGAGCCAGGAGAGGAGATGGGGCAATGGATGTTTCAGATGAAGATGTAGAATTTATCAATGGTGGATAAGAACACCTGAGCAAGAAAGAGAGGAGGAAGGAAAAGAAAGGAAACCCAGGTGACAGGCATTCGGGGATGGTGCGATTTCTGGTGGTGACCACATCCAGGGTGTACCCCTGGAGGCCAGTGGCTGAGAGGGAGAGGAGGAGAGGATCTCAAAGTTGAGGGAGGGTGTGGGTGAGTCATCCTGTGGATGTTGAAGTCATGGAGAATGGCCTGAGCTGGGGTGGGGAGGAGGATGGTGAGCCAGGAGCTATAGTCAGCAGAGAATGAAAGGAAGTGAGCAGGAGAGAAGCTGATGACAGCTTTAGTGGGGAGAACATGGTGCCATCAAAAGCATGAGCCTCCAGGGGTTGCTACAGGGAGGGGAAATGGCCAAAAGGCATTCTCCATCTGGAACATGGGGTGGGGAGGAGAACCCAGCAGAGGAAGTGGTGTCCTCAGTCGGGTTTCACATAAGCAAGAGGAAACAGGATGGACAGTCTTAATTAGGATGAATTCCTACTCTGGGGGATACAGTACGGAGGCTCCTTCAGGCTCTATTCTTCCCATCCATCTATCTTCCCACCCTCTCCCATTCATCCATCCATTCATCCACTCATCAGTCTGTGTACTTCATCCCTCTGTTGGCCCAGTCTCCCATCCATCCCATTTATTCACCTGATGGTCCATCATTTGTCTTATCCTCTTCCCATCTATTATCCCCCAACCACTCTTCACACCCATCTTCTGAATCTTTGTTGTACATCTCCCGTTTAGTTGAGGAAGATGAAAGCCGCAGTTCAGGCTAATTACTATTCTAATAGCAGGAGCCCCGAGGAGGACAAGGCGGAAGCCTGAATGATGATGACTGCTCCCTAGGGAAGGGGCATATTGAACTAGACTAAAGAGGGATAGCCCCAGAAGGGAAGGAAATGGGAATGTCCTAGACTGCAGGACGGATGAGCTGCAATGCCCTGTGCCTCTTAGGAACTGAGGCCAGAGGGACAAGGAGCAGCCAGCAGGTGGACTGCTCCTCTGCTGTGCCTCAGAAGCTTAAAAAAAAAAAAAAGCCTCCAAAGAAAGCCGGGCTTCCAATTGCCACAGTCCTGCAGCTGGCCGTTACCAGGAGTGTGCACAGATGTACACTCCCAACTTCACTGGGGGATTGTCCCCTCTCCTAAATGGGGTTGAAGTAGATGGGCACTGGCCATGGTAGCTCTCTTCATATACCACATGTCACCTTTCCCCTGACCTCCACCAGGGCCATCAGGAGGGGACAGATCTCTCACAGGTCAAGACCCATGCCCACCATACCTCCTCCTTTTGCAGCTCAGGTCATAGACCACTGTCCTCTCAATCACTCATGTGCTTGCCCAGCTGTTTACCTAGCACTGCCTTATTCATTTTTTCAGTATTTAGCAGAGGGGGGAAAAACGACTTCAAAGCCTAGCTCCACATAGACCCTCTTGGGATTCCTCCAAGCCCTAAAGTTGAGCCTTCTGCAAGCTCTCTCCCCAACACAGTAGACGTCTCCTCAGACTCAGACCCAGATGACATACATAGAAGGTGAGGTACTGTGGGGCGTTTACCCACCACCCCCACAGCTTCCCAGAGTTTTCTTGAGTGCGAGCAGCAGGAAATATTAGATAGAAGGATTTATAGCGGAGAATCTTGCGGAGATAAACAGATAGAAAATAAAGGATAGCCTCGAGAGGCCCTGGAACCTATTCCAACGGGCCCCGACTGTCTCTGGTCCAGGGTTTTTATAGAGACGCCAAGGGGTGGAGCAAAAGACCTCCTCCCCCAGCACAGCCAAGTGCAGACCATCTCAGACACCTGCACTCAGGCCCGTGGTCCTGATCATCCTCTATTCGGACCTGCTGGGTAAAGCCACGAGGAACCCCAGAACGGGCTCCCACAAGGTACCCACCCATTTAGAGAGCAATCTGCAGAGCCCAGACACTTCTCATCTCAGAACCTCAAAGAAAGCTGTTTCCTAAGGCCAGGGCTACTAGTCTGCGTATCAAGAGCTGAGCACAAATGGAGGCCTTGGCAACAGCCACAGCAGCTGGTGAGTGGGCAAGTAGCTCCTTCATAGGGCAGAGCCTCCGTCCAGCTGAGGCCTCAGTTTCCCTGACTGCACCATGGGACTAGATACTTAATAAGGTCCCAATAAGTTTGGCTGAGAGGTGATGGGACAGAAGAGGGAAAATAGTTCCAAATTGTAACCAGAAGAGAGAAGCCAGTGGGTATTGACTGGTGGTCCTGTTGTCCACATGATGCTGCAATGAGACCAGGATGTCTGGAGTGTGTTTTCCTGGCACCATACCACTTGGTTAGGTGGCTTGTGGTCAGGGTGTGTAGAGCCATCCATAGTGGGGTACTCTAGGCTCTCTACCCACTTCCCACTAGCTCTAAGGAATCTGGGACCACAGAACCAGCTGAGAAACAAAACAGCCTGAGTTGCTGCTCCAAACCCCGAGGGCCTGTAGGACTGAAAGGGGCTGGGGCAGGAGAGCGGTCTGTGACCACCACCCCAGGAGGACAGGGAAAAGGGGGAAGGGACAGGACACAGCCCTGGGCTCCAGCCACACAGTCCTCCCTTCCTGTTGTCTCAGGATGGTCCTGGCAGGATGCATCTGCCAAAGTTCCAGGGCCAGACCTCCCCCAGGCCCTGCTCCCCACTGCCCCCATCAGAAATCCACCCCCTCGAGTGCATGTATATGCAACTGAGAACCTGTCAGAGATGCACAACCACGCACACTTGTGCACACAGTTAAAGCCCCACACATCACTCAGAGAGATGCATATCTGCACACCCAGGCCCACAGATACAACTAGATGTGTGTACACAGAAGACCCCACTTGTACACATGTGCGGATACACATATGTGCATGTGCACATGCATGCCTACTAGGAGATGGATGCTGGTACAGAACTATGTGAGCCACAGAGGTGGGATCCTGTAGAGCAGAGCGACCTCACCTAATCAGCCGAGGCATGGAAGGCTGAAGGTGGGTTCACCAGCCAAAGCAAGTCCACTTGTGCATCTGGAGAGGAGCACCATGGGAAGGCCTGAAGATGTGGAAGAGACCTGGGCAGGCAAAACCCAGAGGAGGCTCAGACAGTCAGGCAGAGTGGAGAGAAGCTGGTAGAGCCTAGAAACTGTGAAGAAAGGAACTGTCTGGGGCCTGGGAGAGGGCAAGGTCACGGGCAGAGCATGGGTCTGGGATGCATGAACCCCTCATAAGCAGTAGATACGGATTCAGGAAGGAAGGGGGGTCTCAGGCAGAGCCGTGGTGGATTTCACACTCCAAATCTCTTCCTCAGTACCCTGCTCCCCCCACCCCATAGGAGGAGACCTGGAGGCTCCTCCTCTTCCTGCTTCCTGCTGGCAACTCAGCTCATTTAGGGTCAGAGGTCAGGGCAGCAGTCAAAGTTAGTTGGGATTGGGCTCCATTTGTGGACGGAGACAGGGTTGTGATGGGGACCAGTGGCCTCGACCAGAGCAAGGGACAGTTTTGTGGTGGAGATTGGCAGTTGTTGTGGGGTCTTTGGGTTGATGCTGTAGTCAGACTACACATTGGGGAGACAAGGCTATGCTGACTGGAAGCCACTGGGCTAGCCCTGCCTTGGGGAAACCTCCCAGAAGGCCCAAGCGTGACTGGACAGTGCCGGGGCAGTCATGTGACCCCAGTAGCACCACTGTAACCTTGTCTTTCACCCCAGGCCTGGCAAATGGTTACTCCATGACCCCTCCAACCCTGAACATCACAGAGGAGTCATATGTCATTGACACCGGGAACAGCCTATCCATATCCTGCAGGTACTGGCTCCTCCCTACCTGGCAGTCCATGAAGGCTGCCCCAGACTGGGACAAGAGGTGGCTGGCTGAAGAACCCGAAGGCTCCTACTCCCCAGAACAGAGGCCTAGAGGCTGAGAGGGAGTCCTAGGGCGTGGTTTCCCAGAAGCCCCTCAGAGAGGCACCCAGCCTCCCCTAAAACCTCTTCCAGGTCACCTATACCCATTCCTGACCACCTGTCCCTAGCCCCAGGCCTACCACTGAGGTCCCAAAGCCTCCTCACAGGACCAGCTATTGGAGAAGGCTTATGTTACCAGCCTGCCCATTCATAGCTCCAAGAACTAGGCAGAGAGTCAAGGGCTCAGGGAGTGGATCTGCGGAATATAGCCCAAGCCTGGGTTGCCCTTCTTTGGGAAGAGATGATGATGGGCAAAGCTCTTAGCCCTTGCGGGAGGCTCCTTGGAGACTGTGGCTCTAGGCTAAAACCCGGATGGAGAGATCCTCACTTCTACTATCCTCTGCTAGGGGGCAGCACCCCCTTGAGTGGACCTGGCCAGGGGCACAAGAGGTACTGACCACAGGTGGGAAGGACGGTGAGGATACACAGGTTGTGCGAGACTGTGAAGGCACAGAAGCGAGGCCCTACTGCAAGGTGCTGCTGCTGGCCCAGACCCACGCCAACAACACGGGCAGCTACCACTGCTACTACAAGTACATCAAGGCCAGAATTGAGGGCACCACGGCTGCCAGCACCTATGTGTTTGTAAGAGGTGAGGCCTGCCTTGGGCAGGGTCCTGGAGGGAGTAGCTGGAGCCTCTGCACAGCCTGCTGACACCAGGCTGTCAGGAGTGAATATGGGGCCTTACTATGCTCCACATAGAGCAGAAGGCTAGAACTTCACCACCCTGACCCATGTGGCTCCCCTATACTTCCCCCACCCCAGCCCTAGCCCACGACTCCCTGGGCGGCCACTGCCTTACCCAACTCCTACTCCATCTCCTTAGACTTCGAACAGCCCTTCATCAACAAACCGGACACACTCCTGGTCAACAGGAAGGACTCGATGTGGGTGCCCTGCTTGGTGTCCATCCCTGGCCTCAACATCACACTGCGCTCGGTACGGTTCCCTTTCCCAACCTCACCCCAGGAGCCCACCCTCCCGTGCCATCCCTGGGACAGGCAGCTGACAGTCCCTATGTCCCTCCAGCAAAGCTCAGTGCTGCACCCTGATGGGCAGGAGGTGCTGTGGGATGACCGCCGAGGCATGCGGGTACCCACACTGCTGCTGCGGGATGCCCTGTACGTGCAATGCGAGACCACCTGGGGTGACCAGGACTTCCTTTCCAATCCCTTCCTCGTGCACATCACAGGTAGGGGCTGCCACTCCCATCTCACCCAGTTACCGCTCTCTCTGCCCCTAGAAGAACAGGGCAGACATACGGCAACCCTGTGCCACCGGTTCCCAGTCACGGGGCTGTTAGCATCACAGATGGTCTTATCACCCACTCCTCTGCACTCTGTGTGTGATCCTATGAGAAGTGTGGGAGGTGACACTGTATGTGTCACCAGGCAATGAGCTCTATGACATCCAGCTGTTCCCAAAGAAGTCACTGGAGCTGTTGGTTGGAGAGAAGCTGGTTTTGAACTGCACGGTGTGGGCTGAGTTCAACTCGGGTGTCACCTTCGACTGGGATTATCCAGGGAAGCAGGTGAGGTCAGCAGCTCTGCCAGGTACCTCCCTCCCACTGCCCTGTCCTCAGCACCACCGCTAGGACTCACCATGCCCATGCTACCTGTACCTGGCACATCCTGGGCCCCTGTGTGGAGGAGATACAGACTTGGGAACCCAAATGTGATGGGGAAGTTTTCCATCCCCAAGCAAACTCGGGGGGCTGAGCATCCAGAGCTACTAGTGTTTGGGCAGGGGTGTGTGCCTTTGCTGGCTCGGGTCTGCCCCCTGCTTGCCTGCTGATCCTGGGCTTCCCCTGGGTGTGACAGGCAGAGCGGGGTAAGTGGGTACCTGAGCGGCGTTCCCAGCAGACTCACACAGAACTCTCCAGCATCCTGACCATCCACAATGTCAGCCAGCATGACCTGGGCCCCTACGTGTGTGAGGCCAACAACGGCATTCAGCGGTTCCGGGAAAGCACGGAGGTCATTGTGCATGGTATGATCTGGGAGGCTGAGGTCATTGTGCCCGGCATGAGATGGGATGGGTCCAGTATCATGGAGCCTGGAGAACAAGTGTCCCTGTGCAGTGTGGGTCAGAGGTCATGACGCACCTGAGCAGCAGGGGCCAGCCAAAAGGAAGGAAGGGCTGGGAGGGGAAACCCTGCCCAGCTTCTACCCAGCTGGACAGCAAGGCAAGCTCCCATCTGTAGCGGGAGGCTGGGAAGCCTGGTGGGTGGTAGCTCAGCCCCAAGTTTACACTTTTGCCTCCTGTTTGGCAGAAAAGCCCTTCATCAGTGTCGATTGGCTCAAAGGACCTGTCCTGGAAGCCACGGCCGGAGACGAGCTGGTGAAGCTGCCTGTGAAGCTGGCAGCTTATCCCCCACCGGAGTTCCAATGGTAACAGCCTGGGCCCCCTCCCCTTGCTGTGCTGCCAGGCTTAGCACAAGAACTGGCCGGAGAGTGAGAAGGACAGCGCCCTTCCCCATCAGAACATTAGCCCTGAATCTCAGAAGGGGATCTGTCCCTGCCCATTGGGACCCGCACACCCTGAAACTCAGGTGGAACCGGTACTCAACAGAGCCCCTAAAGAGAATGCATATATCCAGCTAGAAGGAAGGTTAGCCCTGGAGCTGCTAACCCTCAAAATATTTACATACCAGATTCTGGCATGTGGAGTGTAATGGACAGTATGGGGTTTTATAGCCCTGCTTCCTGCACCCCCTCAGATCCCTCCAAAGCCCTGCCAGCTGGATCTCCACACAGTGAGGAAACTCAGGGTCTGCCCTGCAGTGTCTTGTTCTCTGGGCTCCCTTCCTAGAAGGGTTCCTCTCTGAGAACCTTCTGATCCACAAATTTGAGGTGTCATGAGACTGCTAAACTGTGATGGAGCCTGGCTCTGAGATACAGGGTAGTAAGAGGCCTGCAGGAGAATTGAGAGCTAGGCTTTCCCTGCAGGGTGTGCCCAGGGCACAGAAGGGACTCTCAGTGATGGCTGCATCCTTCTAGATGCTCCCAGGAGAGGACAGCATCTTCTCAATCCTCCCTTACACTCAGTGCTGTTGCCTTGATTCAGTCATGATAGATCCTACTGCAGCCTCCGTCTACATTGTACAGATAAGGAAATGGGCCAGAAGAGGGACAAGCGTTCCCACCTGAGCCCCGGGTCTCCTGGGAGAAGTTCCTGTTCTGTCTTTTCTTGTCAACCCAGAGCAGCTCTGCCCTGCCAAGCTTGAGGCACCTTACACCTGGTAAGAGGTTCTGGTGCCAGGACAGAGACCCCCAAGGTCCTCAGCCAGGACCCACTGGCCATAGGCTGGAAGCTGGCTTCTGGGAAGGCTCAGGGTGTCCCAGTCACGAGCCTTGTGACCCTGAATCCTCCTCCCTCCATCTAAGGCCATGGCTTGGGGCCATACAAGTACCGCAAGGCATAGAATCAGAGAGAAGGTCCTGATGGCAGTGATGACGCCAGGAGCATCTCTTGTATAAATGCAATTTTTAGAGTCCTAGAGTCCCCTGACCCCCAAAGCCAGCAGGACTGAGCCTGCTCGCAGTGTAGCTTTCCACAGGAACATACGATCTCTGACTTTTCTGCTCCCACTTAGGCAACATCTCCCTCTCAGAAGTGTGCAGCTGTCCCAGGGCGCTTGTGTTCATCACAGTCCCACAGGTGGCCGCTGTTCAAGTGGCGTGATGATGGAATTACTCTCAGTCAGTGAACGATGGGTCGTCCAGTAGACCGACAGACAGACAGGCTGGGTCTTTGGCCCAAGGTGCCCAGCAAGGTGCTGGCACTGTTTCAGTGAGCCTTTGAAATTCCTGCAAGTATCATGCTCCAGTGTCCAGATGAAGACACTGAGGCTTGGGACAGTTAAGGGATCTTCCCTGGGTCACATACCTGACAAAGTAAAAAGCCTGGGTTTCCAGAAGCCTTTTCTGCAGCACAGCCAGGCAGATAGCACAGCCTTGATTCTGCCCCTGTCTATGACCCCAGGCCGGTCACATGCCTCTCTAAGCCCTGACTGCTGTCACAGTTGAGAGTAGGATCCTTAAATCCCTTATCTTAGATCTTTACCTAAGAGATGTGCCTTTTCAGGGCTAGAGTCACAGCTTAGCCTATCCAGAGGGGAGGAGCCTGGGAGAACTAGCTCCGAGCCCAGGACTCAGGCTGAAGAAACAGTCCAGGGTGTAAGGCATTTGCTTGCACACGCAGCAGAGGTCTAGAGTGACCACACATGTCCAGTGGGGCATTGTGTAAACAGGATACAGCAGTGAGTTGTCCCTGTCCCCACTGAATCTCACAGCTCAGTGAGAGGCGAGTCCACCAATAGATCCTTGTATAAAACTCAGTGTGCCAGATAGGCGTGTAACTAAGTGACAGAACACTGGCATAGGATGTGGAGGTCCTGAGTTTGCTCTAGAGGAGAAAAGGAAGGAAGGGAGGGAGGGAGGGAGGGAGGGAGGGAGGGAGG